ATGAAGACCAAGCCATCATCCTAGTGCAATGCAAGCCTAGGGTTCCTTTGCTTTTCATCCTGAATGCAAATCAGAAGAGGCAATCAATTGCTAAAAATTGGATCTGGAGACCTTTGTTTCTGAAGCATAATTCCCCCAAATGATCTGACTAGGATAGACTCATTGCCTGCTAATAAATGTGTCAGGTTATGTTGCAAAATACAGTCATCACTTTTTCTGTCCCTGGAATTCCAGTGTGAGATTGACAAGAGTCCCTTAAAATGCATTTTTCGTTTTGCATGAAGTTAAGTGGCAAGAGCCTTTGCTAATGGCTTTTCTCTAATCTCCTCATTTGTATATCTATCCAGTCATTTCTCTGGGCTTTTGATGTAATTAGATAGACCACAAAAGGTGGTCCTTGCTGCCCAGTCTCTTAAATACCCCCTCTGCTGCCCTACTCAGTTACTGGTGGGATCTCAGTGTTGCTTCACTTTGGTGCTCTTGAACCTGCCTCCCTTTACTCCCTTTGAGCTCATCAGTGTTCTTGACCTGGTGACTGGTCACTCAGATGTCCTTATGGATGGGCAATGAAAAGAAGGGCTGGAGTCTGGGCATTTGGTTTTGCATGTACATCTATTCTGAAAAGATCTGGAAGAGGGGGGAGTCCAGTAAAGACAGTGTAGTGGCAGCTACAAGAGAGAGCAGCCCTATTATTGGGGCATCCTTTTTGGCATCAGAAATCAAGTAAAATAGTAAAACAGCCCTGTCTGTTTGAAGGTACGTATGTGAAACCACCATTCTCTGTAATATTCTTGAGCTCAAAATTCGTTCTTTTTCTCCTGCAGATTAAAATACAGATCAGGGAAAGGACAGACCTTGTGAATAGAGTGAGGTGAGGAAAAGGCCAGACTTGATTCCTGCATTGGAGGGAGAGAGGCTGCCTGAGCTTGAGGAGCAGGAAAAAAAAAAAAGAAAAAGAAAAAAGAAAGAAAATAAGTTAGGAGATTGGGGAAAGGCTAGGGCTCAATAAGGTGGATCGGCTCTGTATTTCCCCAGTACTGTGTATGGCGCACGACTCTTGCTCTCTGCTTGCATCCCAAACCCGGACGTAAAGATGAGGGGGCGTAGAGGAAAAACGGGGTTCCGACGGCGCCAACCAGCTCGAAATAAAAAGTCAGCAAAAACCACTGGGTGGCAGCGCGGTGCGCGCCACAGCTCTGCAGGGCCCGCCGCCCGGAGCTGGGCTGCCTGGAGCTCGGGCTCCTGAATGGCTACAAGTGTTGCCGGGCGAACCTCCTCCCCGGGGGGTGAAGGGGTTGTGCCGCGGGTCCGAGCTGGCGGCAAGCGACTTAGGAACTTGCCGGGGACCCCAGCCGGCCGTTACCCTGCCCACTGAGAATCGTACAGTGAGGAACAGCCTCCCCTGCCATGCCCGGCTACAAGCACCACCCCCTCCACCCACCACCCCTGCTCCTCCAATGCAACCACCTCATCCTGGTACCTCCTCCGTCACTGCTCGTGCCCGAAGCTCTTTTGGGGAAGAGGAAGGGAGAAAGATTTGGGGATGGGTCAGTGCTTAAG